ATGGGACTCAGGCCTGGGTGTGGGCAGTCGGCCTCCCCGGGGCCCGTGGGCTGTGTGCCTTCAGCCAGCCCTCACCTCTCAGCCTCCGTGTCCTCATCTGTCAAGGGGGAGGGAGGTCACAGAATGACAGTGAGGATTCCATAAAGCGATGTCTGTAGGATTCGGGCCGCGCCGGACACCCAGGGGATCCGAGGTGCGTGGACCCCACAGCGACCGCGTCTGTCTTTGGAGAGAAGATAAAAGCAGGGGGGTCTGACCACTCCCAGGCGGCGGAGGGACCCGTTCGTGTGGAATTATTCACAAGGAAAGGGGACGCTAAATTAAACTAGAGTGGCCTTACTCTGCACATGGGAGAAGGGCCCGGTCACCCCCGGAGCCTGCCACATGCACCCCCACCCCAAGGAGGGTACAGAGTGCAAGGATGGCTGCTCTCGCCCACCCACGGAGCAGACCTGATGCCCGAACGCAGTGAGGGAAGTGCCGTGTCTTTCCCGAGGGCTCCGTCTCACAGCCGGGTCCCCGGAGCAGGGACAAGGGCCATAGTCCCTGGTGGCCTCGGACCCAGCTGCCAGCCTGGGCGGCCTTTTGGATGACCGTGCCCCAAACCCTGAACCCTGGGACAGCCAGCATTTCCAGGGCGCCAGCCTGGGGGAGGGGTGCCATTGGTCCCCACAGGGGTGTTGGGAGTCGTGATGACGGTGACCGCGGAGCACCTGCTGTCCTGTCCTCTGAGCTCTTTCCAGGTTGTAACTGGGGCTCACAGCGGTGCATGTGCCCAAGGTGTGGTCACACCTCGTAGCTGGCAGACGCAGGTGTCCTCAGAGGCGCTCGGGGTGTGGGAGTCGGGAGAACTGAGCAGAACAAGGCCCTTTCCCGTTTCAGCTCTCAGGGAGGCTCTGGGTTCAGGACCTGGCCCTGCTTTTTCTAGGTTTGGCCCAAGGCAGCTGCTCCCTGAGCCTCAGTTTGCTGGTCTGCAAACTGGGGATGGGGATGGCACCCACCTCATCACTCGGGGAAACAGAGCTCAATGCTGGGCCAGCACATGCTGCGGCTGTTAGCACCGTCACCATGGTTACAGCAAGTAGTTACCATGAGCACCGCGAGTGGGGCTGTGGACCAGCCCGCCCACCCCATCTCGCTCTGTCCCCTTTGTGACGACCAGGCTCTGGCATTGAGTCCTGTGGTCACAGGAGATTGGGGACTTAAGTTCGGGGGTCAGTGGGAGGTCCCACCTCTGCATGTACCATCCAGGCCACTTGGCCTCCTGTCCAGGTAAAGGGAGGTCTGTCGGGTTGGGGAAACTGAGGCAGGGCCCTGCACCTACCATTGGCAGCTGAGTGACCTGGGACTCCGCCTTGGCTGGAGGTCTGAAGCCGCCCACCCTGTGCTTGGCCTCCCAGTGCCTTTAAAGCTCTTGGTGAGTTGCTGGCATTAGAGGCGGGGCAGCCTCCCGGAGGGTCCCTAGGTTCTGGGGAGATGGGGAGGTGGGCCCACTGGAGAGCCGCCTGGGCACTGTCCACTTTGGCCCATGGGGTTCCAGCAGCAGCGCCTTCCAGAGGGGTGTGTGGCCTGGGGAGAGGGGCTCATGCTGTGAGTGCTCCCCCTCTTTGGAGCCGGAGTGAGGGTCACACAGTGCTGAGGCCCCAGCTACCCAAGGAGCCAGGCCAGTGACAGACCTGGGAGGGGCTTGGGCCGAGCGATGGCACAGCCTGTGTAGAGGGTGGCCGCCCACCTGTTTCGGGGACTGTGGGTGCAGATGTCCTCAGGCCTCCAGTGTGCAACCTTTCCCAGCAGGTGCTTTCGGGGTGCACGTCCCAGAGAAGGGGTTCATGTCCTCTGCTTGTGAGAGTGCATGGGGGTGCTGTCAGCAGGACCAGAGTCCCCTCATCCCACAGCCAAGGCCAGCCCCCCGCCCAGGGCGTTCTCTCCTGGCCCGGGGAGTCCGCTGCTGGGCTCCTGCCCACTCAGTGCCCCCCGAGCCTTTGTGCCAGGCGTGGCCTGGCATCCAGGTTGCCCCTTTCTCTTCGGGCTAATAGGTTTGGGCTGCCCTTGTTTTGCTGTCGCTGGGGTGCTGGTGAGTCCCCAGTAATCACGGTCACCTTAAGGCAGTGGTTCTCAACCTTCCTAATGCCGCGACCCTTTAATACAGTTCCTCATGTTGTGGTGACCCCCACCCATAAAATTATTTTCGTTGCTACTTCATGACTGTAATTTTGCTACTGTTATGAATCGTAATGTAAATATCTGATATGCAGGATGTATTTTCATTGTTACAAATTGAACATAATTAAAGCATAGTGATTAATCACAAAAACAATATGTAATTATATATGTGTTTTCCGATGGTCTTAGGCGACCCCTGTGAAAGGGTCGTTCGACCCCCAAAGGGGTCGCGATCCACAGGTTGAGAACCGCTGCCTTAAGGGCACGCTCCCTGAGTGCAGCACATCACCAGCCACAGGCTTCCCGGGCAGCTGCCCTTGTCCCCCCCTTGGCTTGGGCAGCAGGCATGGACTGAGCCACGTCAGGCCACAGCGGCTGTGCGGGCCTGGGCCACACAGAGGCTCGGGGACCCTGGCCAGTCTCCTCCCTGCTCTGGGCCCAGACCCCACGGCTTGGCTTCCACAATATGACCCCAAACCAGCTGTACTTTCTTTTTCTGAGTTTCTCCCTCCCCCGCCACAGGGGTTTTGTGGCCTGTGCCTTCGTGGGGTCGTGGCTGGCACCTGGGTGGGTACAGCAGTGCTATCAGGAGCTGTGCTCATTTCTGGACCCCAGAAACCAGGTCCTCTGGGCCCCTCTTGGCTGTCCGTGGAACTTCACACCCACTCGCTCTATGGGGCCCCATGGGCCTGGGGGCCGGCAGCCCTGTGCTGCAGCCACTGTCGCCATCTGGGCCTGGCGACACCAGCAGGAGGGCAGAGCCTGGCCTGGGTCCTGCGAGCTGCCTGGGCAGGGACAAAGGCAGCCCCTCCAGGCCCAGCGTGGGCAGGGCCCCTAGAGACAGCGGGGGAGGGGAGACGGGTGCCCACCGCTGCTGTCCGGCTGGGTGCAGAGTGGGCCAGGCGGGGGGCGGGGAGTCACAGGCCCCTCGGGGGAGGCCTCGGTGTTGCACACAGCCGGCCTGTGTGTCCCTGAATGGGTGGCTTTATCCTGGGTCCTAACCGCCAGGACCTGGCCCATGGAATCAAGCCAGGCTGCCAGGCCCGGGACCAGCCTGTCTGGGGAGGCAAGAGGTGTGGCCATAGTTCCTGGGTTGAGGCCAGACGCCTGGCCTTTGCCCAAGCCAGGCCCGCCTTCCTGGCAAGAACTCAGGGTGTCCGGAGGGTGGTGGCGGCTGCCGAGTCTCTGCCTGGCGGGGCCCCAGCCTTCTCACGGCTCCGTGTCTCACCAAAGCCCCGGCCATCCTCCCGCCGAAAAGAGCCAGGCCCCTCCAGAGCAAAAAGGAGACACAGTCCCACCCACGGGCCAGAGCCGAGGCCCAAACTCCAATTAAATTCCTGGGTCAATGACCGTGGGAGGAGCCACCAATTCTGGACCTTTGGGCTACAGGAGTCTGTCACCCCACCTCTGAGATGGCTGATGATAGTGGCCTTGGGCTGTTCTTGGCCCCACACAGGATGCCTGTGCCACTGTTCCTGTCACTGGGCATTCTGTACATGAAAGGAGGTTGCACAGCACTGCTGGCCCCTGCCCACCACATGCCAGGAGTACTCCCTGTTGTGACCTTCACTCCTGTCCCCAGATATTGCCACATGTCCCCTGGGGGGCAGACTTGCCTGACTTACTAATGGTGCCAAGTGGGCAGATATATAAGGAGAAGGTGGGCATCCTGGAAACCCGAAGAAGGGGCCAGGGCTCCCGGAGGATGTGGCTCAGTGTGGAGAGGCTTCCGTGGTTGGACCAAAGTAACGTTCACTGCTAGAATCCTCCGGAAAACAGACCAGAGTCAAGAGGGGCTGGCCCTGCAGGGCTTGGAGTTTGGGTGGACCCAGTTGGGGGCAGAGCGCTAACACAGCCACACCTCACCCGCAGCCACAGCCACGCCTCAGCCACAGCCACGCCTCACCTACAGCCACACCTCACCTACAGCCACAGCCACACCTCACCTGCAGCCACACCTCACCTGCAGCCACAGCCACAGCCACACCTCAGCCACAGCCACACCTCACCCGCAGCCACAGCCACAGCCATGCCACAGCCACACCTCAGCCACAGCCACGCCTCACCCGCAGCCACAGTCACACCTCACCCACAGCCACAGCCAAGCCTCACCCGCAGCCACAGCCACACCTCACCTGCAGCCACAGCCACGCCTCACCTGCAGCCACACCTCACCTGCAGCCACAGCCACACCTCACCTGCAGCCCGTGCCACCCCGCCCACTCCACTCCTCTGTCTTGGCTGAGCCAAGTGGCCGTGAGCTTGAACCTGCCCTGGGGCCCCCCAGCGAGTGGCTCTGGAGTGCCTGGTGGCGCTGTGGAGTCTCCCTGTCCGTCGGGGTCAGGAGGCACTATCCCCTGCTTGTTGGACAGGGCGTTCTGCCCAGCGGGCTGGGAGGCTGACACCTGCTGGCTGGTGGCCCCTCTGCATGTCAGCACCAGTCCCGCCAGGACCGACACCAGCGTCACCTTGGGGTGCGGGGGAGGGGGCGGGGAGGTAAGGGCTCTGCTGGCACCAGCCATGGCCACCTGCCGAGCCCCTCAACAGGGACCCGCTAAGTCAGCAGATCAGAATACCCTTCCTTTCCCAGCACTTGAGAGGTTTTCTGTCTTCGAGGGGAAACGAAACAAAACCAGAAATAAGAAATGGGAACTGCAGTATCTGCGGCCACGGGGGCTGGTTGTTGTGAGCCTCTTGGCCAGAGGGTGGCGCGTGTGGTGTGATTGTTCGCGTCGTCTCTGTGAGTTGGGGTGTCTGCAGGAGCCGTGGCGTTTATGGGCCGGGTGTGGGGGGCCGTGTCGGGCTCCCGGGTCTCACGCGTCCCCTTGCTCTTGCAGCGGAGCTGGAGTTCGTGGAGATCACCATCATCGTGGTGGTGGTGATGGTGATGGTGGTGGTGATCACGTGCCTGCTCAGCCACTACAAGCTGTCCGCACGCTCCTTCATCGGCCGGCACAGCCAGGGCAGGAGGAGAGACGACGCCCTGTCCTCAGTAAGTGCCGCCCTCGGGACGTGACGGGGTGCCCCACGGCGGGGCCTCCCAGGAACTACAGGGGACAGAGCTCCGGGCTCAGGCGGAGGCCGGGCAGACGGGTGGTGGCTCCGGTGCCGAGCCCTGCGGTGACCCAGACACGGGCGAGCCCTTCCTCTCAGCCAGCGCCTCCGGGCGTCGGGCAGGGACTCTTGGCGGCAGCACGTCACCCGGGGAAGGGCCCTTCTCGGGGCCGAGTTTAATCCCAGCTCCACCGGTCCCGGCCGTGTGCCCTCGGACCAGTCCCTCCTTCATGAAACGGGGCTTCAGTCCCACTTGTGTGAAAGCCGGGGGCAGGCGCTGGGTCTGAGGGCAGCTGGGAATCAGGGAAGGTGGCACCTGGCAGCCCCGAGACTGCAGGCGGCGCACATCTCTGAGTCCGTGTTCTTTGGGCACCGGGAGGACAGCGACAGGACAGGAGGCGGCGCTGGGTGTGGCCTCCCAGTTCCCGGGTCTCGGGCTGAGCCAAGCCCGCAGGCAGACCTGTCCGGGCAGGTTCGGGCCTCTCTGCTTGCGTCAGGCGCAGCCTCAGTGTGTCACCAGGTTGCCAGGGCAAGGAGCGGCCGCTCTGGTCCCTTCGGCGGGAACACTGGGTGCTCAGCCTGAGCCCCCGTGTATGCAGAGGGCACGGCTGCTCAGAAGGGATCCAGGCTTCCGCAGCCAGGGCTCGCCTGTGTGCTTGGTCGTTGCTGCTGTTACCCTAGCGACGGGCCACCAGCTGCAATGCACAGTCTGGTCTTCACTTACCCGTTTTACAGAGAACAGGCTCAGAGAGGTGGGAACACTAGCCTGAGGCCTCACAGCTCTTAAGTGGCGGTTTGAGAGGTTTGAAGAGCCCACAGCCCGTTTGTTCTCCCTCGGGGCTGGAGCAAGTGAGGGCCTTTTGCACAAAGGAGAATACTCCAGCCCTATAGGCATGCTCCAGTGGGTCCCCTTCCCTCCGAGCCCGAGTGAGCATCTGTGGAATGGGTGGAGCTGGCCTTTCTCCCGCTGCCCCATGTGGTCCAGCCTATGAGAGTATGGAGGTGGAGGTGCAGAGGCTCCCGGGGGAGGCGTGCCTGCTTCCAGGGAGGGAGGCAGCTCTGTGGCAGCACCTAGGACTTCACGCCCAGACGGAGGTTAGGACTCAGGAGACCCAGGGCTAAAAGAAAGGCGCCCCTCCCCCCTGCCCTCTACCCAGCCACCTGCACAGGTCCCCAGGGACGCCTGGATGGGTAAACACAGCCTTGTTAGGCCTGTGGCAGCTCCCCTGGGGACCCCCTACCAGACAGGGCGTGTCTGAGGAGTCTCCGGGCCCAGCAACCTCCCAGAGACCCAAACCCTGCCACCGTCTGCCTGGGGCTGGGCCCAGCGGCCTGGCTGCCCTGCCGTGGCCCCTTTGCGGGGTGACTTTCTCGGTATTTGTTTCCTCACTGGCATGCAGTCAAGCCCATTCCCATGGAATCTTCCCTGGTGGCTGTGCTTGCCCCAGAGCAACGTTGTTAGTGATGTAACCGACTGTCTGCCTCACCAAGCAGGAACTAGCTCACTCTCTGGCCCTTTAGGAAACAGTTCGCAGACCCCTGGTTCTACATGGGGAAGCCATGCCGGGCTGGACGGGCTCACCACAAGGAAGCTTCTAGAAAGAAAAGGAGCCAGATGGAGCCTGGGGTGCTAGGGATGGGAGCGGGGCAAGAAGGAGCTGTCAGGAACAACCCTGGGGGTCTGGCATTTGATCTGGAAAGATGTTGGGGCCATTCACTGAATTGGGGAACAAGGCGAGGAAGAACCGGCCTCTTGGCAGGGGTTCTACTTGAGTACAGTGCTGTCTTGGCGGTGGGTTCTGGGCCAGGCTGGGGGGAGCTGGGCTGCTGTGGGAGCCTCCAGGCAGGCGTCTGGCCCGGTGGCTGGTTCCTGGAACTCCCTGAAGGAGGAGGTGACCTCCAGGTGCAGGAGTTGGAGGTAGTCAGTGGCAGGGATGGTGGGTGGTTCTGGGTCTGCAGTGGGGCACCCAGGCGCTGACAGGTGTTTCGTAACCTTCTTGGGTGGTGCTAATTTGCAACCAGGTGGAGAACCTCTGGGCTAGGGCTCCGCCGGTGGGGGTGGAGGTGGGGAAGAGGTGTTGGCGGCCACGTCCTGCCGGGCTTAGCTGGAGGGCCTCACAGGAGACTTTTAGAGGGGCTTGTATGGGTCACATTTCATCCAAGACGCCTTGGCTGCTTGCACCCCTCCCCAGGGCTCCGATTCCACTTGGGAGCAGGTGGTTGGTTGACTGGGAGAATTGAAATGATGCTTAAAAGAGCTTATCACAGTGCCTGACACCAAGGCAGCAATTGATATGGCATTATTAATATTAGTCCCAAAATGGCCATGGACGACCACATTAACAGTAACAGTGTATGTCTGCTCTCTGCTTCCCCACACCTGGAACATACTAGGCCCCATGAGTCTTCCTGGTTTAGTCAGTGCATTCCTGTTGGGACAGTTTTGAGAGACACAGGGCCGCCTAGTGGCCATGTCGGAAATTGCAGCCCTCCAGGGAATCCTCAACTGGGAGCCCTCCAGAAAACGTGCCCCCAGTGAAATGAATGGGATGATGGATGAGTTTGTTATTCTGATTGTGGTGATGGGTTCCTGGAATATACATGAGCCAAAGTTTAGCCACGTTATATACTTTGAATATGTGCAGTTTATTATATGTCAGGTATATCTCAATAAAGCTAGTTTTAATTTTTAATTTTTTTTGCCCCTCCGATGAACTGATCCTGGTGTGGGGGGTCCCACTTTCCTGGCCCTCGGGTCTCTCCACATGAAACAGGAATCTCAGTACAGAGGGCGGGGTCTTTCGTCTGATGATAGAGGTCCCGGGAACCTCGGGCAGGGTTTCCAGCTCCGTGGGAGCTGAGGGCCCCGACGTCTGCGGAGCATGTGAAATAGGAATCTCAGTACAGAGGGCGGGGTCTTTCATCAGATGATAGAGGTCCCGGGAACCTCGGGCAGGGTTTCCAGCTCCGTGGGAGCTGAGGGCCCCGACGTCTGCGGAGCATGCCGTTTCCTGTCCCCTGGTCCCTCTGTGAGGTGGGCTCACTCACTAACCTCTGACGGGCCAAGGTCAGGGTGGCCTGAGCAGGGCAGACGCTGCCCGCAGCGGGTAGTAGGTATGAGGGAGCCAGCATGTGGCTGGAACTCACACAGAGCCGGTGCAGCCTGGCTGCCCATGGGCAGACTGGAGTCCAGAGCCAGCCCTCTCCATTCCCCAGGGGAGCTGCAGGCCCCACCCAGAGTTTCAGGGCAGAGGGCATAAGCCTCATGAGGTGGCAGCGACATGCCTGGCACCTGGCCCGGAGCTTGGCACAGAAGTGGGCCACATCCACATTTGTTGACTCACTGAATCATGTCGTGGCAGAGCAGCTAGGTGGGGCTTCCCTTATTAACTCTTGTATTTCTTCACCTGTAACCTGGGCTCACAATGGGAGGCCAAGGCAGTCAAGAGCTAAATAAACAAGGAGACAAGATGTTCTTGTGAGGGAAGTCATTAGAGGACAGGATTTGTAATGGGTGAGGGCCCTCTAGGTGTGGTGTCAGAGGAAGTCTGCAGGGGACACTGGGATTACAAAGCAAGGAGCCTGGCTGGGTGGCTCAATTGGTTGGAGCATCATCCCGTGCAAGAAGGGTCTTGGATTTGATTCCCGGTCAGGGCACAACCTGGAAGCAACAGATCAATGTTTCTCTCTCACACATCTCCCTCTCTCTCCTTCCTCCATCTCTCCCTCCCTTCCTATCTCTGAAAGCAATACATGCATCCTCGTGTGAGGATAAAAAGAAAAAAACAAGGAGTTGGCCATGCAGTGGGGTGGCCAGTGCAAAGGCCCTGAGGTGCACACTTAGCATTTCGACGCACTAGATAGCAGTCAGCAGGGCTGGAGACAGCGTAGTGATGGCGTCCGATGTGTTCATATGCTCGCAGAGGGCACGTGCACTCCGAGCGGTTTGCACGCTCCACTCCTTCAATGCTGGAATTCAGCCACTTGCCCACGGTGGCACAGCCAGGAAGGGGTGGCCAAGGCCAGGAGGGCTGGTTCCGGCCAGGCTTTCTTAGCAGCTAGTACATGGGTTACTTTGGATTTATTCTAAGGTCCATAAGAGGCGCTGGAGGGTTCGGAGAAAGGAGATTCAGCTGCATGTTTTAGAAAGTGTGGAGGGTGCATTTTCAGGGACAGAGTGGGAGCCCAGAACTGGGTGTCTGAGAGGTGTCCAGGCCCGGTGGGGATGGAGAGAGGTGGAGAGTGCAAGGTCTCATTCCAAATTCAAGGTCCCAGGGTCAGAACCGGGTGGACCCTGGCTCTCAGCTGTGCTTCATCCCCTGACCTGCCTCTCTCCTCCCACACAGGAAGGATGCCTCTGGCCCTCAGACAGCACCGTGTCCGGCAGTGGAATCCCAGAGGTGAGCCCCAGTGTGCCTGCCCACCCCTTCCCCTCCTGCCCTGTACCTGCCCTCCCAAGTGCTTTAGTGGACCCAGAAGCCCCCAAGCCCAGCGGTGCCCTTCCCGGGCCTGAACCGCTGGCTGCTACAGGCTCACACGCTGCCCTTCTCAGAAGAAATGTGCGGTGGCTGGTCCCCCCTGCCCGGACAGTATGCACCTACCCCAGGGAGCGCCCCGTGTCTGCCCCAGGCCAGCCAAGGCGGCCCCTCTTGAGCTCTGTGATGATCCCAGGCCCCTTGCTGATGGAGGGGGCGGTTCTCAGGTGGAGGCCAGGCTCCAGGCTCGCCTCCCGCCCGCCCTTCCCTCCCTTTCCCCAGAGAGCAGAGTCGCACGCAGCCATCCTTGCTTGGGCCCTGCTTCTGGGGACCCTCACTCTGCTCTGCTCCCTCCAGCCTCAGGTCTACGCCCCACCGAGGCCCACGGACCGCCTGGCCGTGCCCCCCTTCGCCCAGCGGGACCGCTTCCACCGCTTCCAGCCCACCTACCCCTACCTGCAGCATGAGATCGACCTGCCGCCCACCATCTCGCTGTCAGACGGGGAGGAGCCGCCGCCCTACCAGGGCCCCTGCACCCTCCAGCTGCGGGACCCCGAGCAGCAGCTGGAGCTCAACCGCGAGTCGGTGCGCGCGCCCCCAAACAGGACCATCTTCGACAGCGACCTGATGGACAGCGCCATGCTGGGTGGCCCCTGTCCCCCCAGCAGCAACTCGGGCATCAGCGCCACGTGCTACGGGGGCGGCGGGCGCATGGAGGGGCCGCCCCCCACCTACAGCGAGGTCATCGGGCACTACCCCGGGTCCGCAGCCTTCCAGCATCAGCAGAGCAGCACGCCGGCCTCCCTGCTGGAGGGGGCCCGGCTGCACCCCGCGCACCTCGCGGCCCTGGAGAGCGCCGCCGCCTGGAGCCAAGAGAAGGAGAAGCAGAAGGGACACCCTCTCTAGGGTCCCGGCGGCGGCCAGGGCAGTGGTGGGTGAAAAGGCAAAACACTCCGCACTTCTAAGAAGAGAGAGGAGGCCGGGCCGGACACGCGCGTCGCCATCCCCTCCCCCTCCCTGTGTATAAAAATAGTTACATGTCTGTCTGGTCCGGATGCACAAGCTAAGAAAGCTTGCAAAACAACACACACACACACACACACAACCCATGTTTCTTTGTTGAGCCGTGTCTTGAAGGCAAAAGAGAAAAAACAATTCTCCCCTCGTTTTTTCTGTTGCTAGTCGAGCTTCGTGAAGGCTTCCTTTCGTTTGTTGATGACGATTTCACTTAACTTTAAAAACATATTTGCACAAAACCTTTGTTTAAAGATCTGCAATATTATATATAAAAATATATATAAAGTAAGAGAAACTATGTGCGAGGGCAGGAGTATTTTTGTATTAGAAGAGTCCTATAAACACACACAGGCGGTTTTCTGAGCTGGAAGAGAAAGTGGCCCCTTCGGCGTGCCGTCTCAGAACGTGTGTATTACCTTGTAAAGAAAGCAATGACAGAGCAGGGGTCTAGAGTTATTTATATAAATGTTGAGCTTTTGCACTATTTTTTAATATAAATATGTCAGTGCTTGTTTGACGGAAACTTTTATCATGTTTGTCGAGACTCTAAGGGAGAGATGCCCAGCCCGGCGGCGGGCAGAGGGGCTCCGCCTGGGCGGAGAGGCTGGGACAGGCTCTCCGCTCCGCAGTGGGCGCTGTGCCTGGGGTAGACTCTTCCGTCCTTACACATTCCCGCCCGAAGGGGACATGTTTCCTCCTCGGGGTCAGAACAGCCTTTGAATCGCATGACATAGAGGCACCGAGTTCCAGGTGGTGGCTTTGCCTTCCCCAACTGAAAATAAACTGTTACTGAAGGAATTTAAGTTTTCCCTCCTATTTTTTTTTAATCGTGAAGGTCCCCATAGGCAGGGGCGAAGGTGCTGCTATTGACACGCCGAGGGGTAGAGACGGCTTGTTGTGCAGAATTCGATGGTGGCTCCAGAGCTGGTCGGTTAAGGTCAGTGCGGTCCGCTGGCTACAGGAAAGGCCCCAAGTCCTAGGACTGTGACCCTGTCCCTGTCTTGCTCTCTACGGATGATTCCCACTTAATGGGCCAAAAACAGAAGACCAGAGCTGAAAGCGACACTCCCCGGACATGCGGAAGGGCTGAGACGAAAGATGGTCACACCCCGAGCTCGAGGCTTTAGGCCAGGGCTGGTGACGTCGGCCCAGGGGCCCTGTAAGCCCCGCGAAGTCATTGGGTCTGGCCCTGCCACGGCAGTAGGGGTGAGTGAGTTAAATGTCTGACCGAACACAGCGGCCCGGTTTTTAAGGTGGTGATTCTGTACGGCCTGTGAATGGAAAGAGGTTCCCCACCCCTGCCTTCTCTCCATCCCCGTTCCTCCTGGAAACAGTCCTGGTCTGTGTGTTTCTTTCCTGTGTTTCCATAAGCATCTTCCTCAGACACGACTCCTGTTCAACGGGGTTTCACAGAGTAGATTTGTGTGTGGGGAGACGCCTCGTGGGTGTGCGTGGGCACACGTGTGTACGAGTAGAGATGAGTGGCAGGAAGTGGAGTGGGGGTCCCTTGGCATCTGCCGCGGACGGTGGCTGGAGCTGGAGGCCTTTCTCCGGGTGAGGACTCGCTAATCTCCACGGTGGGTGACCCCCCAGCCGGAAGAGCAGCCCCCCGTCCCCCACCCCACGGAGGTGTCCTCATTTTCAGCAGAATGCCAACTAGCCGACTGACATAAGAGAAAGATAGGAGGCAATAACTATTGTTTTTAAGCAACTATTTTATTACTTGAAAAATGAAAACCTGGGAACAGTTTTGAAGTTCTGACCATTTGAACTCTGTTTATATACAAATTTTACAAACAGGCGAGCACCAGGCAGGGGCCACTGCGTCCTCGGCCAGCCTGGCAGAGGTGTCCGCCCTGACCACAGCACCTGCCTCTCCGTGGGTCTTCAGCCTGAAACTTGCTGCCCTCAAAGAGGGTTCTTTTCAAAGGACGAGCAGAGAAGCCCTGCAGTCTGTGCTGACAGGACAGGGACAATTTGTAGGGAACAGTTTTAAAGGGAACCTTTCCGCGGAGTCTCCCTAGTGCCTTACTGAGGAAACACTGGGCTCGGTCGCCGGGCTGGCGTTCCTGGCGGTGCCTGGTTCGCCCGGACCCGCCTCCCGCTCCTGGCCCGCAAAGGGCTGCTGCTTCTCAAACCTTCCTTTGTCCTCCCTCGTCCCAGCCCACCTGCCTTCCGCCCTGCACGTCCTCCCTGGGCCGGGCGACCCCTCCTGCCCCAGCCTTCCTGGCCAGCACTGTGCTTACTGCCCCCCGGGTGGGAACCTGGAAGTGGGCCTCCTTGGTGTGAGCAGCGTCAGCCAAAAGCCAGTGCGCAGCGCCCCCGGGTCCTCTGAACCTCGTTGCCGGTGGTGCGGTCCGATCTGCTGTACTTTCGGAGTTAGGAGGAAGCCGGGCCACCGACCTCAGCCGGCTGGAGGGCAGAGCTCGCCCCTCTGATCAGCCCCAGTCAGGGCTGCAGGCCAGGTTGCCGTGTGGCCTGTCCCTGGGCTCGTGCCCAGCAGGTGACCGCTGCGGGCGTGCATCTCAAGAGAACGGTGTGTGTTTCCAGAAATTGGCGCCGTAGCTAAGCTCTGGGTTTCTCTGTGGACCCCAGAGCTGGGGTGCAGGGGGCACGATTTCCTCTAGGTCAGTGGTTCTCAACCTTCCTAATGCCGCGACCCTTTCATACAGTTCCTCATGTTGTGGTGACCCCCAATTTCATTGTTACAAATTGAACATAATTAAAGCATAGTGATTAATCACAAAAACAATATGTAATTATATATGTGTTTTCCGATGGTCTTAGGCGACCCCTGTGAAAGGGTCGTTCGACCCCCAAAGGGGTCGCGACCCACAGGTTGAGAACCGCTGCTCTAAGTGTCGACTGTCAGGCTGTTATCTTTGAAAAGCCTTTGCGCACCCCTCGGGAGGCCCCTGTTGCCATAGAGAGTTGGGGGTCTTTAGAAGTGGCTGGTTGGAGGGGGACCAGGTTGGGCTCAGAAAAGGCGGTGGAGCTCAGCTGTCTGTAATGCTCACTGTTTTCCTGCTTGTCAATCATCACATCCCCCGCACCCCGTTCCCACAAAGCCCGGTCCACGCACACGGACTTAGCAAAGTCCACCGTGAGCCGTCCATGTTCCCTCAAAGCCCAGTGTTTGTGCAAAGAGCTAAGAGTGACCTCTTCCCCGTCCAGCGCGCACCAGGGCCAGGCGAGCACCGAAGCCGCCCCTGTCCTTGTCTGTCTTGTCTGTGAATTCTACGTTTCAGAGGTTTCTTTTTCCCACGCGCAGCGCAAAGCTTCCAGGTCCATAGAACATCCCGATGACAAGGAAAGAATTTCAGATGTTGCTGTGACTGTGGGGCTGCGAAGGCCGCGCGCTCCCCTTGCCGTCTGACTCCGTGGTGGCGTGCGGATGGCGGCGCCCACTGGTGTCCCTGGCGCCGGAACTGCTCGCCTTTGCCGCCCTGTGTCACGAGTTCGTTAAACTGCAAACTGTCCGTGTCACTCGGGCCGTGCTCACACCGCTGCTGCGGCAGCCCTTGTATTCGATGCCAGTCCACGGGCCTGATGAACTTGCTTGTTGTTATCAATAATCGTTAGTGGCAAGGATGACGTTCTGAAGAGCTGCAATACTTACACAATAAATTTTACAATCTTTGGAATGAGGCTGGTTTGTTTCTTTGGTCGTTCCCCTGCCCCCACCGCCCTCGGCAACAACCCCAGGGTCCCACGGAGCTGAGGGGCCGTGAGACCTTGGCCAGTTCCTTGCTCCTCTGCTTTAGGGCAGGGAGCCTAGTGCTAACGCGAGCTCGGGCGGGTGGTTTTAGCAAGAGAGGTGGTGTTTGGGTTAAAGGAATTTCCAAAACATTACCTACCTTTCCTCCTGGGAAAATTTTTAAATCACCAACGCATGACAAAAGCTCTGATAAGGTCTGCAAGAAAGAAACTGTCTGAGGTAGGGTTCTTCTAGAAGTAAACTCAGACGGGCCCCTGTCTGAAGGGATGCATCACGGTTGTCTCCCAGGGGAGACCAGGAAGTCAGGAAGTGGATCACAGAACCCCACAGTGCCCACGACAGAAACTCGTGTTTATTTCTCTTTCATGTCTAAGTGCTGTTGTTTAATCAGCCTAAACAGCCCATAACCCGCAGCAATGACCAGTTTGGTCTCAGCCCCAAGGTTCCCTAAGCTTCTGGACCACAGGCTTACAAAGCTGCCCACTGCGTGGGGACAACTCAGCACGTGTCTGCACTACCTGCTCCCTCTCTCTGGTGCACACAAACCTCAGATCACAAAGACTGGGGGGAACCTAAGAGCTTATTTATGCTTCAGTGCTAGGAGCACGGCGGGCATCACAGCGCAGTGCCCAGCGGGGCTCTGGAACCCCAGTGCCTCCCTTGCTGACCCTCAGCCACCTCATCTGTAGAATGGGTTGATGGCGGAACCTGTGAGCTGGTCGCGCTTGGTGTCTGATACGATAAGTCCTCAGAAGGGTGCCGGCCACATGCAAATGTGAGCCGCTTTTATTACTAACAGGCTCCCAGGATGGGTTTCCTGTAACCCAGTCCCCTGGAGCTTCTAGGCCGGTTTGTAGGTCCTGGGCTGAGCACACAGGCACCACCTCCCCCGGGAAGTCAGGACAGAGGAGCCTTTCCCAGCGGGGAGGGGAGCCCTGGGTTCCGATGGGAAGGAGACCCCACACACACACTTCTGAGAACAGCCCAAGCAGTGCAGCCGTATCCGTCCAGAATAATGACTGAACTCAGAGCAGCTGGTGTTTTTGGAGCATCTATTAGATTACAAGCGTGATGCTAAGTCATGACAGAAGGTGGCTGCTCGTTGGGGCGCTGAGGAGGCTCCTGGGGTACCAGTGCATCAGGCCCAACGCCAGACCTCAAAGAACTCACCTGGGACCACACCACCACTCCGAGAGGGCGAGAGTGGGCTGTCAGAAGCGAGAGGGAGGTTGCCGACGGCTGCATTGTTGCGCTCAGAGGCACGAGGAAGGAAAGGAGGGAGAGGGTGAGCCAGGCGGCTGCGTGAGCACAGGTCGCCAGGGGGCTTGGCAGGGCGGCGCTGACCGGCAAAGCGATGCCCTGGAGGGGAGGCTGAGCCTCACTGTGCACAACGACCAGGGAGGGCGGTGGGTGTGGCCTGGTATGGAGTGGGGCACCGAGAAATGGTTAGGAACATCGCACAGGCCATCAGAATGCGGCCGAGAAAAAGGCTGAAGCTTCCCCTCAGAGCCGGTCCAATGAGCAGGGCCCCACGCCAGCGCCCGGACGCAGCTCAGCTGTGACCGTCTGGACTCAATCGTCTGCAGATTTCAGGTGGAGGCTTGTCTCATGGCCTCCATTCTCTGGTGGGTAAAGAAAAGTTGTTGATTTTTAGCTGGTCCACCTGTTTCTTCTTGTGAGAATAAGAGTGATGACTTCCAGGCTGTTTACAACCTCAAACCGGAAACAGAAGTTCTCTGTAAAAAAAAAAAAAAAAAGTTCTCTTTTTTTAGAAATTGAGATAAAATTTACATACTCTGAAATTCACCTTTAACATGCAGTGGGCTTAGTATAGGCACAAAGTTGTGCAGCCATTCCCAGATCGAATTCCAGGACATTCACATCATCCCCAATAAAACCTCGCTCCATTCCAGTCCTTCCCCAGCTCGGGGCAGCCACAATCCACTTCCTGTTTCCACGGATTTGCCTACTTCAAACATTTCGTGTAAGTGGAGTCATGCAATATGTGATCTTTTTCTTATATTGTGTGTCTGGCTGCTTTTCCTTAGCCTAGTATTTCCCAACGCTTATTCATGCTGTC